AAAAACGTCTTTTATTTAACCACAGAAATACAGGCCAAGAGGCCAAGAGAAAGAATGGTGCTCTTGAATTACTTGTACAATACTTCTCTCAATCAACACTGACCCCGAATACCATTAGAAACCACTGTCAGGATAAGAGAAAACTGATAGAAAGACCTGAAACACAAAACTGTGCATTCAAATTTAATAAATTTTACCTCCAGCTCTGCATTCACTCCAAAGTCCATACCCTGTGGATTTATCACTAACCAGTACGAAATGCAATACTAATACAAGTTCCGAATTGTATTTCAAGAGGGCAAATCCTATATTGTACATACTCTGCTGTACAGGAATAGTGACAAATTTCTCATCTGGGGCAGTCTGAAAAATCAGCTTAACCCTTCTGAGAGACCACCTACTGGACTTTAAAATGCCACAATAATTGTCACTTAAAATCAAAGGTAAATCCTGTGCATATACAAGAACAATGAAGTTGCAAATGCAAATTTTGGGGACAGTGATTCATCCTTCAAAAATTTCACTGACAGGGACAGTCCATACCTGCTTGTGTAGCTAGAAAAACAAGTCACATAGATTTCAATTAACTGCACATTTCATATTGTTAAAGAGGTCGTGGATGGTAGCAGAGACCAAAACTGCTGGCTGTGTTTCAGATAAAAGAAAGATGAAACTGGCTCGTTCCCCAGGATCAAATGGGGAATCTCAGTTTGGAAAGCCGCCTCACATGCAGAGTGGGGAGAGGCAATAGCAAGAAGGGAGGCTGCTGAACTGGTGCTGGCTGGGAGACTCTAGGGAGGAAAAGAGTTTGTCTAAAGTAGGACACAGGTCTACAGTGCAGGTTCAGATGATCCACAGAAAGTTTCCTAGAAGCCCAGAGGACTGTGTGGAAGGTGTCTGAATCAGAAAGCCACTGAAGCTGCTGGAGCAGACTGCAAGGAAACAATTCAATCTGCAAAGATACTGTTTCCAGAAGACGGATTTATTTTTAAGCCTTTCTGCCCTGCCCAGCTGATCCAAGTTCCCTCTATTTAAAGAAGAAAAACCTTATTCTAAGTTAGTATTTTTTTGACATCATTCCAACAAAGTGTGGCTTTAGGGAATAAAAGTCTGTAGGCGTGCTCACTGTAGGGAAGACAGTGGGACAGCTCCAGCACGAGGCGCTGGCCTGACTGGCATCCTGCTGTGGCACTGCCAGAAGCAGCAGGTCTGCAGGTAATCCCCAAGTTAAAAACGATATTCCTGGGGGAGGGAGAATAATGCCATATCCTCAAATTAAGGCACCTAGACAGCACTCAGGGACACAGAAGGGTGGATTTGTTATTCTACTTCCCCCTCCTCCTCTTTTTTTTTTTGAGAGAGGGAAAGTTAAAGGAAGAAGGAAGGAACATGGGGATGACATAACTGCATAGAGGTCATCAACAAAGCTCTTGGAAGACCTGTGCGACAAAAGTGATTTTCTTCTATCTAAGTGAACGATCAAAAGCAAAAAGAGGTGACTTTTGGCCAACTCAGAGGCATCTAGTGGGGCTGGGGTGAGAAGCTAATGGCTGTGTGGAGAAGCTTAACAGAGACAGAACCTGCTTTGAGGGAGGAAAAGCAGCCTTCCAAAATGCTTACAAAGCACGTGAAAAGCAGCAGGAAGATTCTGGGGTACCAGAGGGACACATGAGCACTGTGCAGCCTAGACTGCTGAAACCAAAAACCAAAACATGCAGTATCAGTAGTGGGTCTTTTCAAGACCCACAGCACCACTTCCCTCAGCTGTGGCACTGCTGGGAGAGAGAAATGGCTATTAAACCTTCCCCTGGGGTGCACTCTTGGGAAGCAACGTAGAGTGGGTACTATTTCATGCAGATGAGGGTCCTGAAAGACAAGTGGAAAATGAATGTGCTCTGACCATGACCACAAACGCACCTGGGCAGTATGCCCAAGGAGGGGAAGCTGGGTGCTGGATTACCTAGTGCCCGTACTAAGTAGGCCAGGTTTGCCACGTCTTTGTCTGAGTGCACATTTTGGGAAGTAGAAAGATGAATATGCCCAGTGTCTTTGCCTGGAGACACATGGCACAATGCAAAAGCGATAGAGAAGAAGAAAAAAGAGAGTCCTTTTAAAGGACATGGAGCATGCCTGAAATGAAACCCAGGAAGAAGACCTCACTATAAATAAAGAAAATGCTGTTACGGGGATGGCTCGGGTAAATTATAAGAGAAGTCTGGCACCAACCTTCAGCAATGTCACAACACAGTTGATAGATGTCTGTGAAAAACAAAACAGATTGGCCAATTCAATGAAGTCTAGAAAGAAACTTCTGGCTGTTTGAAAAAAGGGTCTTTTTGTTTGTTTTGTAGTTCAGTACAGGTGTGTCTGGATTTTAGCAAGCTTTCTGATATATTTGCCAGATGCCTCAACACTGATTTATTGGCTGCTTGGCAGCCGCAGAAAGAAATACTTCGTTCTCTGGCACATTTCAGTTAACAATTTGTCAGCCGGGAATGGAACCACAGCACCACTGAAAAGAAAGCTTTATAGATGCATTAAAAAATCCCAACCAACTCAATTCTACTTAGGTAAATTTAGTATATATACAATTGGAAAATTCACCTTTAAAAAAGCTTATCTTAAGGGGGAAATTTCAGTCTGTGAGGTAGAGTTTGATACCACAAGAATATGATGCACAAACATAAACTGCAAAGAGGAAAGATAAACAGACTGTTGATTTTGCTTAGGCAGAAAAATGCTTGAGTGACTAACCTGAAGAAGCCCCTTTTGAGTCCTCATTTCCATAACAACAGCTAAGGCATCACAGAATATGTAGAACTGTAATATACACAAAAATGAACCACCTACAACATGAGCTGAAATCCTTGACCACTCCAGGTGTTTGGCATTTCTGAAAATTAGCTCTACGATATTCCCTATTTGCTAAAAAGTATTCAGGAACAAGACAAGTAATTACCATTATTACTGTTTCTTTGAAGTTCAATGCGAAAGCCAAAGAAATGAACATATAAGGATCACAGATGAAATAGTTCAGGAATTATAGTCATAACTTCCTTGTCACATTGGCATGTTTGGACTTAAACTGCAGTAAATTTGTATTGCCGTTATGAAGTACAATTCCCCAGAATCATCCCCCAAATAACTTAAACCTGAGCAGCACTGTACAGCCATTACATGTTGGCTACATAAATAAATTTATTAGGTAATTATTTTCAACTGAGTTTTTCTACCTTTTTAAAATTCATCTTTGTTTATATCACATGTTCTTCAAGAATTTAATAAAATATTAAAATGTTGAGGTGGTGCAAGCTTATTATCTGTAATTTACCCAGTATTTTGAATGACACATCATATTAAGACAGCTCAATTTCACGTGTATAGCCTTACTTCCTAAATGAAATCTACAGATTTGGGAAGGAAATAAAACTTTCCATTAAAAAAAAAAAAATCAGAGCACAGAAAAGGCAACCATACATAGCCTAATTCATAGCATTACGAACTATGTTTATACTCTGTAAATTCAACTGTAAAGAGTTTTTTGTGATGTCAATAAGTACGGATAAGAGATCATAGAAGACAACTCAGTATGAATGTGGTTTGTGAACCCTGTAGAGGAAGTCCCACAAATAAAGGAGTAAGATGTAAAATAATAGAGACTATGACATGCAGTAGACTGAATGTGGACGTGGGGTCATGAGAGAAAAAAAAACAAGTCTGTTATTAATCCAGATTAGATGGCCTGATAGACTTCACTTCAGCAGTAATTTCTACTTTAAAATTCCTAGAAAACAACAAAAACCCACTAAGAACACATATGCAGCATCCTGCTTCCTGAAAGCTGAACACAGTACATATCACAAATCTAATTTCATGCCAATTTTATCAACTATAACACAAGCAAAAGCTGAACAAGCAGGCTAGTGTTGCAGGTAAAGCATCAGTCTTGAGTTCAACCCCTGGACAATCAGAGCAGGTTTACACTATTCACCAACCTCTACCTCTATTTGCCTTACAACACTTTGTCAGTGTAGTCTCTTTAGTTCGTACAATACATGAGAGGAGTGATTGCCTTGTTTTAACAACTTGCAGAGCACTGCTGTAACGAAAAACTAACTCTGAGATAGCACTGGATACAAATAACAAAACATTATGATCAAAGTATCTATTTGTGGAATTCTGTAATTAAAAGCAGAGGAGGAGAAGTATGCTGTAATGACAACAAATTAACAAGTTAGAAAAAATGAATAAAAATATGCTTTTAATGCATAGAAGAAGTAGAAATAATTTTGTCATGACTTGAAATAGTTCAAGGAATTGATTATTTTCCAAAGACAGAACATCAAAATAAAAGTTCAATGATCCACAGTGTTTGGATGAATTTCAGCTAAAACAACCCACCAAAAACCTAAACAAAACAAAAAAACGAACCCAAACCCCAAGATGTGTGCTTACCATACCATCAGAATTCAGGGACAACAATGATTTATGTAAATTACTGTCCTCTTCCTTAACTGCATACGTGTCTGTGAATCAAGCATTTCCCAGTTCTCTTGCTGGAACTACTAATCTGTCCAGTAAACTCGTGGAATCATCTTAAAATCTTTATTTGTCACTTCATGACCCCATAATAACTTGCAATAGATAATCTGAGGATCAAGAGTGGCTGCTCTGTTTAGATACTTGATCTGGGAGATGCAAGTGCTACTGCCAGCCTAGGAATGAAGCCCTAAAGCAGAACAAAGCCACTGCTTTTCTTCTGGAGATTACAGTATGACAGATCATGAAACACTGCATGATGTTTAATTAATTCAACAATTCCTTGCAATATAGCACTAAGCTGTCACATAAAATCTGAATATGGCACATTAGAGAAAGAATTACAGAAATTGTGCTAGAAATGTGAGAATAATTGTTTTCATTGTGCTCATTCTGCTGCAAACTGAAAAAAAAAAGAAAAGAAATCCATAAAATACATAGATCGTTTGGAAAGAACATACCTATTAACTCCTTATTTCTGACATCTAAGGCCATGTTTCGTAAAGCTGTAGCAACTGCACATACCACCCGGTCATTGTCTATTCGAAGCAGTTCCACCAGGATTGGCAATCCTTTTTCTTTGCGGACAGCAGCACGGATGTACACTGACCACTGTAAAGACACATGGGAGAGCATGAAGACGAAAGTCAGAAATGACTACAGAAAGCAAGGCATCTGAGGTTGTAACAGATAACATAGTAAGGGGTAACAAGCACATGGATGCAAACTCAAAAGAGGGGAAATAATTGCATTTATGATGCTAGGCAACCACTTGATTTGGAAATCTGCACTAATTTTTTATGGTGGCAGAGAAATTAAATGATGAATTGACTTTACTCCTAGCACACCTGGTTACATTTTTACAGCCCAAGTCTGCACATGACTTGCTTTGCATCAGCATTTCCTATGCAACATCTAATGATGCCTGTCCACTGCTAAAACAACAATGTTTATATTACAAAATATATATTACAAAACATGTTCAAGATGTCGAGTATTTCTCTGTTATTACCATTTGGTCTAAAAACATGCAAATGCTGTTATTTCTCTTGTGATTGTCAACTTGTTCAGAAGGAAAAATGATGACAACTCTATGTCTGCTTTTGGCACCTGTAGTGGTCCTAACCAGAAGACTATTGTACATCGAGGAGCGATTCACGTAAGAGTTGACCTGAGGGAGGTGCAAGCCTGTGCTGTGCCATGCTGCATGTACCACCTGGCTGCACGATAAACCCAGCAGCTGATCGTATCAGAGAAGCCTGTAGGCATCTCCCACTTGGCAGCTGGTCATGACACCACTGGCATGCCCTTGCCTTTTTCTCAAAGCGAAGCAGCATGTTCTCATGTGAACATTCTTTTTGTTTGACAGTAAAAATGATGAATACAGTTGTTTACTTCTAAGAAAATCCTCTAAGAGCTCTAAAGACTATCATGCCAGTGAACCTTTCCATGGATGGGATCTGTGCAGCGTGCCATGACCAGGATGTCCATCCAATGTTGCACAACTAAGGGTTCCCAGCACCTGAAGGGACGAAAGATTAACTATACGTTCCTCTTTTTCATTCTACTGTTAGCTCCAGAAGTTGGAAAAAATGTAAACAAGACCAAAACTGTGCTCTTGTGGTTTTAAAAGCTATGAGTATTGCCAAAATTGAGACGTTTGGACACCTGCAGGTCTTCTCAGCACAGGTCGCTTCAAAACAAGCCATCTACTAGGCATATATTCCTTCCCACATCCTGAACTCTTCTCTGGAATTTTCATAAAGTTCGCATTCATGCTCCTTGTACTGACAGTTGGAAGGAATTCATTGAAGCAGAGCTTCTCCCTCCTTCCAGTGCTATGGCATGGATGCTTATCCTGCCATTGTACCTGGAAGGTGAAGACAAAGTTCTGGAAGCCCTTAGCCTTTGAAATATTTCAAATACTTCAGAAGCCAGGGTGATAAACCTTCGGATTTTCAGATCATGATGACCCTTCTCTTTTGACAAACCTTCCTTAAAAAACAGTTAGATCACACCTTAAAGAACAGTTACATTGCAATAGCATTCCACAAAACAGAAAATTTGTTTTGTAAAAACAAATTCCATGAAATAAAGCATTAGAAAAAGGTAAGCACATTCACTGTCAGCAGATCATGCTTATGCTTTGCATACGGCCTCTACTTACCACAGCTGAAGCGTGCACTTTAAAAGCTAGCATCTGTTTATACTATAGACAGGTGCCCTGAATAGCAAAAGCCAGAATATATTTTGTGATAAGAATAGTAGATATGGAGACAGACAAGGGCTGCAATGTTGCAGTATCTGGAGTGCAAATTCATTCCAGGTGATGTCATTCAGGGGAAATTGGAAAAAAGGAAAAGAAACCAGCATTTAAAGAATATTATTTTATTATTTCTCCTCTGTAGTAACTATGCATAACAAAAGCCAGACGGCTGGACTTTGCTGTAGATGAAAGTGATAATGGTGACGATAAGCTTTCAAGGCAGATAAACAGGACATGGGGTTCTCGGCATCACCGAGCACAGTAATGTACTATGTCTAAAATGTAAATGTGCCACCATTTTCTGCAGCAAATCAAATAGGTCTTAGGTGAGAGAAGTGGTAGCAGGATTCTTGACTGATCTTATTCTATGCTCTCTCCTCCAGTCTCTTCTCTAGAACCAGTATATAGGATGATCATCAGATAAAACACTGAAACACATAGAATCATAGAATGGTTTGGTTGGAAGGGACCTTCAAGCTCATCTAGTTTGAACCCCCCTGCCATGGGCAGGGACACCTTCCACCAGACCAGGTTGCTCAAAACCCCATCCAACCTGGTCTTGAACACTTCCAAGGATGGAGCATCCACAACTTCTCTGGGCAACCTCTTCCAGTGTCTCACCACCCTTTCGGTGAAGAATTTCTTCCTGATATCTGATCTAAATCTACTCTCTTCCAGTTTAAAGCCATTGCCCCTTGCCCTATCACTACAGGCCCTTGTAAAAAGTCCCTCCCCAGCTTTCTTGTAGGCCCCTTTTAGGTACTGGAAGGGATCAGTGAGTGATCATCTTAAGGAGCAGCGAGTTTAATAGAAAGTATCTGCTGAAAAATAATTTCTTTCCGATATCTTGATTTTAATGGGATAATGCTATGAAAACAACAAATTCATCTTTCTAAGCTTCCTGTTTTAACAAACATGTGTTTACCTGCCAGTTAAACACACTCTCACCTGCAGCTGGGAGTACCCAAAGCAATAGCTCTTTGCACTTAAAAACTACCATTGCTGTATTTTCTGCATCTCTCCCCGGGGAGGCCTCTGCTGCGTCTGCTGTGATTACAAGGTGACGGCCGGAGTGAGAGTTCATGGTAGCAGTGAGACTACTTTGAGAATGGCGTGAACCTGTCTGGTTGAAGTGAGAGTTCAAGCTAGCAGACACTATACTGAAAGATGCTGTCGTTCATTGCAAAAACACACCACAGATGTAGTGTCTCCAATACAGACTACATGTGAATCAGTGGGGGTGTTTGGTTTTTTTTTAAAAAAACCTTATTTGTGTCTATTCAATACCAGAGGGAATCTAAAATGATCTTATAGATTATTCACTATATTATAAAACCCTCCATATTGAAATCTCAGTAAACAGATTTCCTTTGATTTTTTTTAGTCAGATACCAAGGGAAAACACAAGCACTTGTTTTATGAAACTCAGGTTTACAACAGACTTCTTGGGTTGTGGTATTTTCATCATCCATTCCAAACCAAACGTTTAAAAGAATCAAATTAAGAAATGGGGGTTTTTAACCCTAGGGAGAGTAGAAGATGTTGTAGGAGAAACACTGAAATAACTCAGTATGAAAAAACCAGAAAATATAAACCCCCTTAATGACATGCAAGCCTTCAGCATCTGTAATGAACCAATTAATTTGATCACAATGATAAAAAATACAGCTGCAAAGTTTTCATAGGGGAAAAATCCAAGATATAATGTTTTACAGATACACATATGCACACACATACATAAAACAATGGGAGAAAGAGAGAAAAATATGTATGGAACCTCTCCTCTCCCCTGCACATTCCTCCCCCCCCAGCTCTCTTTTTCCAGAGGATGTCATCTGCTTCGGGAAAAGTTCACAGACACCTCAATGTGTGATTTGCTATCATTTCATCTGCATTTTCAAGTCATGCACCTTGGGCTGAGAGACAGAAATGTCTATTAATTGTTTCAAGAGTCTCTGGAGAACTTTCCATGTGGAAAGTGCTAAGAACTGTCTGTGTCTCCCTCCTTAAGCTGCCAATTAGGACAAGTCTCTGCAAGCAATTATGCTACACTGTGGATTTCAGGAACGCTCAAATTGAGATGCCTGAAAACAGCTATTTTATTCTTGCAGAGAATGGAAAAATTGGTTTGCTCTTGCGTATACTGATGATCCTTTTGTTTGCCTAAAGCCATCCTGAAACGCGCCTGCATTTCCACATTGCAGGTCAATTGCTAATACGAGGTCAGTGAAGTATAAAAGAGAAGAGATGAAAAATCATAAAAAAGAATGGAGACAAAGGGTTTGTTGCCTATCAGTAGGTAAATGAGGCACTCTGCCAATATACTTAATCATCCTGTTACTCCACAAATCAGTGGCAGTGTCAACGATCAAATAACTGCTCAGTTTGTAAAGAGAAAGGGCTCCTATGGGAACAGTAAACACTTTAGAGGGAACAAGAGCCAAAAAATAAAATAAAATGATTATTGTTGCATCAGATTGCAGCTAAATTATCAGAGACAAGCACAGGAGCCACAATCTGTGCATGAATACTCTTTACAGATAATTGAATTTGGGGGGCATAACTACTATACATCACTTTGAAGGTACCTAGTGCATCTCTATGTCCACTTTCATTAGTAGTTCTTTTTATTTTTGTCATAGTAATTAAGTAAAAAGATACAGCAAACTGGAAAATTATTTTTTACTTTGTCACAGTTATTATTATGAAGGACCCTTTCCAGAGCTGAATGCCTCTAGGGATTAAGATTACATTAGGCTGAAACTCAACAAAAGAGTAATTAATCTAGATAAAACTTACTTTTTTTTTTTTAAAAAAAAAAAAATTGAAAAGCATTTAGGCTGTTAACTGCTTTATAGTGTTTCATATGTTTTTCTTTATCTTCTTATGAAGCACCACCACAGGAGACTAAACTAAAAAATGAAGACATTTCCAGCACAAAATGAAAAAGAAAAAACCCTTCAAAATAAACCCACAAAAAAAAGCCCAAGGAATACCAACAATTATATACACTTGATATTTTGAATGGATTTACTTTCCTGACATTGACATCAGTGTTACGGGAGTACCACCAGAGTATTTCACCATTACATACTTCAGTTTTGACTAGAGTTTGCATTGTATTGGTACAGTTCAACACCGTGACTCAAAGACTATCGAGATACAGAACATTAAAGGGAATTGCTGAGACATAAACTACAAAATGAAACCTAAATCAGGGCAGCAAGCATGACAAAGCAAACTAAATTACCAAGAGAGTCAGGAAGATTAGAGAGACACAGAATTTGCTAGGAGAGGCTTAGAAAGGGGCTGTCTGCTAACAGAAGTGGAACAATAGACCATGGAA